AAAAAAAAAAAAAAAAAGGGTAGAGAGGGGCCACATGTGGTGGCTTATGCCTGTAATCTGAGCACTGTGGGAGGCTAAGGCAAGAGGATTGCTTGAGCTCAGGAGTTTAAGACCTGAGCAAGAGCAATGCCCCATCTCTATTAAAAATAGAAAAACTAGTTGGGTGATATGGCCTATAGTCCCAGCTATGTGGGAGGCTGCAGCAAGAGGATTGTTTGAGCCCTAGAGTTTGAGGTTTCTATGAACTATGACACCATGGGGCACTCTACCCAGGGTGACAGAATGAGATTGTCTCCAAAAAAAGAAAAAAAGAGAGGTAGAGGGAGCGTGGGATTCTATAGTTACTTCTTATAAAGTGAAAAGACAAGAGATTTGACTACATTCATTTGCTAATTCAACAAATATCTAGTGAATACCTGGCATGTTCAGGGTAGCTTCTTAGTGCTGGAAATTTAGTGTTGAACAATGTAGTCTCAAATCTCTGCCTGCTTACAAAGGCAATAGAAAAGCTGTATCACAGATCTAATTATAATGGGGGGGGGAGATGAGTCGGTGGCAAAAATAAGCAGATTGTACAATATTGTGAAAAAACAATATTGGAAACAACAATATTGGGGTACAGGCACCCCCCACAATATTAGAGATGGGGTCTTGCTCTTGCTCAGGCTGGTCTTGAACCTGTGAGCTGAGGCAATCCACCCACTCTGGCCTCCCAGAGTGCTAGGGTTATAGGCATGAGCCACTGCACCTGGCTCAGTAGATGTTTGTTGACTGAATAACTCAAGGGGCATTGAACAATATTTTTACACAAAGAATTAAAAGATGTTTGATCACGCTAATGAAGCAATTTTTGTAATTTTAAGGAAGATGATCTGTAACTCTATTTAAAATCTTATTCTAGGCTTGGCGCCCACTGCTCAGTGGTTAGGACTCCAGCCATATGCACCAGGGCTGGAGTATTCAAACCCAGCCCGGCCCTGCTAAACAAGAATAATGACAACGACAATATCAACAACAACAAAACAGCTGGGCATTGTGGTGGGCACCTGTACTCCCAGCTACTTGGGAGGCTGAGGCAAGAGAATGGCTTAAGCCTCAGGTTGCTGTGAGCTGTGATGTGACAAAACTCTACAGAGGGCAAGATAGTGAGATTTTCTCAAAGAAAAAAAAAAAAAACTCCCCCAACTCCTTAATCTAATGCTTAATACAAATTTAATAAGGGGGTACTAAAAAGAAGAAGCAATTTTATCTATAGCTTGTTTGATTTCTTTGCTTTTATTTGATTTCTATATGATTTCAGTCTAAGAGTGGGGTCATGTTTATACTGTGTGCCCAGTTCAGTTTTTAAACAAGTGTTTGCTTCAGAATCATTCCGTTTTAATCTTTTTAATTTTATCTACAAATAATTTTAACATTATTGTTATTAATTCTTAAGATAAATAGCTATAACAGCAATTGTGCTAAGCCCTGGGAAAAGAGGAACAATATGCATAATAGCTTTTGAAATACTTTTTGGTTCTTGAGCGATCAATTGAGGCTTATTTTTATAATTCACTATTCAACCATTTTACACGTTAAATAAAATGAAATGAATCTTAAAGATTAAGATAAGAAAGTTGATAACTTAGTGTCTTATCTGTTTTAAAGAAATACCGAGAAGTTGTATGGGTCAGCTTTATCCAATAGAGAATGGTTAGTTTTCTGTCTCCTACAGAAATTAGGTAACTTGTAAGTCTCTTAGGGATGAACATTTTCATGATCAAACTTGACTATCTGCCATAACAGAGAGACCTTGTTTGGCGGATAACCTAATTTCACCACATGGATAAAACAACCGTTCAATTCAGAAAGTTGGAGAATGATACAGAAACATAACAGAATGAGTTTGGAGATGCTAATGGGGTTGAATCCAGAGATACTGGACCAAATTTGCCCACATTTATTAGGACCTGGCCAATTCTATGTTAGCTTGTCAACCTCACAAATCTAAATTGATATGAAAATTTTTTTTTTTTTTTTTTGAGATAGAGTCTCAAGCTGTCCCTCTGGGTAGAGTGCCGTGGCATCACAGCTCTTAGCAACCTCCAACTCCAGGGCTCAAGTGATTCTCCTGCCTTTGCCTCCCAAGTAGCTGGGACTACAGGTGCCTGCCACAATGCCTGGCCATTTTTTGGTTGCAGCCATAGTTGTTTGGCAGCCCGGGCTGGATTTGAACCCGCCAGCTTAGGTGTATGTGGCTGGCGCCTTAGCTGCTTGAGCCACATTCAAGAAATGTTTACTTGAATAAATCTTCCTGGTGCCCTGATCAATTGCCCTATATTTTCTCAGTGGAAGATTTCACATTGAGCTTTACTTTTTGATGTGGGGGAATTTATTATTGAGGCATTCAAAAAGACTTTATTGTATTTTTTCTTTTGGATTGTTTAATTTAGTTTGGTTTTTGAAAGCACCAGTTTAAGAGACAGCTTACTCCTTTAGCAGGGAAGACCGGTACTTCAGTTCCTCTTCATGTACCCAGGGAGTCTTCAGAACTGGGCCTGTTAAGATGCACACAGTAATTTTACTTCTAGCACTAGCTCCCAAGATATATATCCAATTGGAACAGAACTAAAGAATATTTCTCCCTTAAGAGAACTATAGTGCATTTCATGACAGCTTGGCTAATGATAGCCTAGCCGCTGAAAAGCCCATCAGGTGCTTTTGGTGTGTGAATCCTCTGGGTGTCTAAGTGTGCCATTTTTTGCTATCTTCTGGGTGGATTCAGTCTCATTCTCTTTTCTTGTAGTACCCATGAGTTGTTTATCTAGAGGGGATATTAAGAAACTGCGAGAAAGGAGAATTTAAATTTAATTCAATTTTACTTTAAACTGTTTTATCTTATTGCATTGCTATCACATGGCTACATAAAAGGGAAAAAAGCAAGAAGAAAAATCCTGCCCAAATCTAAACATTATATAATAAACCCTAAGTGTGAAGGCTTCCCCGTGAAAGATAGACACTTTTTTTTTGAGACAGAGGTTCACTATGGCACCCTTGGTAGAGTGCGGTGGCATCACAGCTCACAGCAACCTCCAACTCTTGGGCTTAAGTGATTCTCTTGCCTCAGCCTCCCAAGTAGCTGGGACTACAGGCATTTACCACAATGCCCGGCTATTTTTTGTTGCAGTTGTCATTGTTACTTAGCTAGCTTGGTCTGGGTTCGAACCTGCCAACCTTGGTACATGTGGCTGGTGCGGAACCACTGTGCTACAGGTGCTGAGCTGAAAGATAGACTCTTTTAAACCTCAGTCTTAGTCATTGGGCCTCCTATCATTCTCTTCAGGGCCAACTTTACCTCTTGGTTCCGCAGAGTGTAGATAAGGGGGTTGAGGAAAGGAGTGACGGCTGTGGGGAACAGGGCAGCTGCGCCATCCAGGGGGCTGTTGGTTCCAGGCCTTAGGTAGATAAAGGCACAGGGCACGTAGTACACAGTGACTACAGTTACGTGGGCTCCACAGGTTGAAAAGGCCCGGCGCCGCCCATCGGCTGTACGGATTCTCAGGATGGTCTGAATGATCTGTATGTAGGACAGGAGGATCAGGGAGAAGCAACTGGCAACCACTACCCCAATGTCCACAAAGGTCACCAGCTCATTGACTGTTGTATCAGTGCAGGCCAGCTTCAAAACAGCAGGGATGTCACAGAAGAAGTAATCTACCTGATTGGGCCCACAGTAGGGCAGGCGGAAGGTCAGGATGGCCTGGAAAGCCCCATGGATGGATCCTGCCAGCCAAGCTCCAGCTACCAGCAAGGCACTAAGCTTAGCAGTCATGAGGACGGGGTAGCGCAGGGGCTGGCATATTGCCAGATATCTGTCATAGGCCATCAGCGTGTAGAGGAAACACTGGGTGCTGCCCAGGAAGTGATAGAAATAGAGCTGAGCCACACAGCCACCAAAAGGGATGGGTTTGATGCCCAAAGTGAAGGTCATCACGAGGCGAGGGACGATGATGGAAGAGATGCCCATGTCAATGACGGAAAGAACACCAAGAAAGATGTACATGGGGCGGGCATGGAGCTTCGGGTCCGCCCAGACGGTGATTAGAATAAGCAGGTTTCCCAGCTGAGTCAGGATGTAGATTAGCAAAAAGAATGTGAAGAGGAATGTCCTTAGCCTGAGGGGGTAGGGAATTCCTGTGAGGATGAACTCAGTCAGCAGCGTGCTGTTGACTCTCTCCATCTCCTAAAGAGATCTCACCTAGAGAACGGACAAAACAGGAATTGGCATAGAGGTGAGGGGAGAGTGAAGGGAAACTGGAAAGAGATTGGGGCGATGAAAGAGAAGTTTCTCTCTTATGTGGAAGGATGACAAATAGGCAGAAATGATGTTCTCTGGCAGGTGCTTTGTAAGTAATTTTTTTAAAGAGACAGAGACTCACTTTGTCACCCTTGGTAGTGTGCTATGGCATCACAGCTCACAGCAACCTCCAGCTCTTGGGCTTAGGTGATTCTCTTGCCTCAGCTTCCCAAGTAGCTGGGACTACAGGCGCCCACCACATCGCCTGGCTATTTTTTTGTTGCAATTTGGCTGGGGCTGGGTTCAAACCCACTACCCGTGGTATATGGGGCCGGCACCCTACTCACTGAGCCACGGGCATCACCTCTGTAAGTGAAATTTTACTGGAGCATACCTATGCTCACTTACGTAATGTCTGTGGCTGCTTTGCTGCTATGATGGCAGAGATGAGTAGTTGCAGTGTCTTTGGACTGAAAAATTTAAACCATTTACTCTCTGGGCCTTTACAGAAAAAGTTTGCACCTAGGGGTTTGTACCCAGAGCAATGTTTTCCAATAATTTTTGGAAAATAATCATTGACTGTTGTATTAGCACAGCCCAAGAGTTCCTGGAAACATGACATGAGGGAAAGTGTATTTGCTCATTAGATGCTCTGCCAGTTCAGAATCTTCTGGAGGCCATTGGCCCATTCTCATGTCTGCCAGGACATAAACCTACGCAGAGTGGGGAATGTGCAGAAAGTAAATGAAGGAACTCTTTTAACTAACTACTTTGCTATGCAGAGAATGAAATAGAATTTTTGTTTTTTTGAGACAGAGTCCCACTACCTCACCCTTGGTAGAGGGCTGTAGTATCACAGCTCACAGCAACCTCAAACTCTTGGGCTTGTGATTCTCTTGCTTCAGACTCCCAAGTAGCTGGGACTACAGGTACCTGCCACAATGCCTGGCTATTTTTTTTTTTAGGAGACAGAGTCTCACTTTATCACCCTAGTAGAGTGCCATAGTGTCACAGCTCACAGCAACCTCCAACTCCTGGGCTTAGGTGATTCTCTTGCCTCAGCCTCCAGAGTAGCTGGGACTACAGGTACCCGCCACAATGCCCGGCTATTTTTTGTTACAGTTTGGCTGAGGCTGGGTTCAAACCTGCCATCCTTGGTATATGGGACCAGTACCCTACCCACTGAGCCACAGGTGCCACCCAACCTGGCTATTTTTTGTTGCAGTTGTCATTGTTGTTCTAGCTTGCCTGGGCAGGGTTCGAACCTGCCAACTTTGGTGTACGTGGCTGGCACTGTAACTATTGTGCTACAGGTGCTGAGCCTAGAATTTTGATTAAATGCCTAACTGTGTGTGACAGTGCTTGATGTCGCATAGACCTACTTTACAAATTCTTTACAACTCAGAGGGAGAGAATGCCTGGGAGGCTATAAGTGTGTAAATAAAGTGAGGACTTACACCGTGAGCGGTTGTATTTCATTTACTTTGTACAAAATCATTAAGCCTTAGCACATGGTAAAGAAAGAGGAGAGGAAGAAGAGGGACGGCAGTAGTGAGAAGTCAGAGATTAAAGAAAAAGGAAGGACATTAGAAAGGAAGAGAGGAACAGCATGAGAGGATGGCTATAGTAGAGAAAATGGTTCTTAATGTAGAAGAATTAATTATTATACATTCTCAGTCCAACTGCTTGAGGGGTGTTTCCTCATCTGAAGAAAAGAGTTAAGTTAAGGAATGTCTAAAATTCCTTTTAGTTTTATAATTTTCTGTTATCTAAACTCATGGCTTGGCACCTTTATTGAAAATCAATTGACTTGGCTCGGCGCCTATAGCTCAACTGGCTAAGGCGCCAGCCACGTACACGTAAGGTGGCGGGTTCGAATCCCCAGCCCGGACCCGCCAAACAACAATGACAGCTGCAACCAAAAAATAGCCGGGCGTTGTGGCGGGTGCCTGTGGTCCTAACTACTTGGGAGGCGGAGGCAGGAGACTCGCTTGAGCCCAGGAGTTGGAGGTTGCTGTGAGCTGTAATGCCATGGCACTCTACCCAGGGGGACAGCTTGAGGCTCTGTCTCAAAAAAAAAAAAAAAAAAAAGAAAATCAATTGACTTTATCTATTCATTGATTGACTGAGACACAGTCTCACTCTGTCACCCTGGGTAGAGTGTCCTGGCATCCTTGTAACTCTCAGTAACCTCAAACTCCTAGGCTTAAGCTATCCTGTTTCAGCCTCCCAAGTAGCTGGGACTACGAGCACCCACCCCAATGCCTTGCTAGGTTTTCTATTTTTAGTAGAAATGAGGTCTCTTGCTCAGGCTGGTCTCAAACTCCTGAGGTCAAATGATCCACTCACCTTGGCCTCCCAAAGTGTTAGGATTACAGGCGTGAGCCACCACGGAAAATCAAGGGACTATAAATGATGTGTTACTTTCTGGGCTTTCTATCCTGTTCCAGTGGTTGATGTGTCTGTTTTTGTGCCAGTACGGTGCTGTTTGATTATAAGAGTTTTATAATTTATTTTAAAATAAGGTAGTGTGATGCTGGAAGTTTTGTTTTTTTTGAGAGAGATTACTTTGGATATTTGGTGTCTTTTGTGCTTCCATGATGGGAAAAGGTCTGTTTCTTCAATAAATGGTGTTGGGAAAACTGGATATCCACATGCAAAAGACTAAATTGGACTCTTATCTCACACCATATGCAAAAAACAACTTAAAATGGATTAAAGACTTATACACAAGAGCTCAAACTGCAAAACTACTAGAAGAAAACCTAGGAGAAAAGTTCCACAACACTGGTTTGGGCAATGACTTTTTGGATGTGACACTGAAAGCACTAGTAACTAAAGCAAAAGTAGACAAATGGGATTGCCTCAAACTAAAAAGTTTCTGTATAGCAAAGAAATGAAGAAACAGCCCAAAGATTGAGAGAAAATATTTGCAAACAATGTGTCTGAAAAGGGGTTAATATCCCAAATATATGATGAATTCAATGCAATAGCAAGTAAACAAATAACACAGTTAAAAAATGGACAAAAGACTGAATAGATATTCCTAAAAAGAAGACATAGAAATCTCCCAGCACTCTTGATGTAATTATTCCACAATGTATACGTATCAATGTCTTGATGTAATCATTCTACAATGTGTAGATATATTAAATCATCACATTGTACCTCATAAATATCTACAATTATTATTTATCAATTAAAATAAAAATTTAAATAAAGTATGCACAATAAGAGTTTTTGAATGGAAAAGCACCTCAGGATTTAAGGTGGGATATCAAAGAAATTGAAATAAAATTGTTTTCTTTTTTTGAGACAGTCTCACTTTGTCATCCTTGGTGGAGTGCTGTAGTGTCACAGCTCACAGCAATTTCAAACTGTTGGGCTCAAGTGATTCTCTTGCCTCAACCTCCTGAGTAGCTGGGACTACAGGTACCTGCCACAGTGCCAGGCTATTTTTAGAGATGAGGTCTCACTCTGGCTCAGGCTGGTCTAAAATTGGTGAGCTCAGGCGATCCACCTACCTTGGCCTCCCAGAGTGCTAGGATATAGGCCTGAGCCCCGCACCTGGCCAAATTGAAATAAATTGATTTGTTTTTTCCCTCTGGAATGATTTGCATCCACTCAGGAGGATAGTAAGACCAACAGGGAATATCAGGGGTTCCCTGCTGTGCAGGGAGCATTCTACCCTGGGTTGGAGGACTGTGAAGACCAAGGAACTGACAACATTCATGGGTAAGGTGACCAGACCTCCTGCTTTTGGCGGGACAGTCCCGATTTTTAACAATTTGTTCCGTGTCCCACAGAGTTTTAAAAAAGTCCTGATTTTTGGAAAGAATGCATGACAAGCTAGGGAACAGCAGGATAATGGGAAGGGAATATATTGGCTGCTGAAAAGGTTAATGTAACTCCATTTGGGAATGAAGAAGTTAATGTAACTTCATTTGGAAATGAAAAGGCTAATGTAAATTCCCTACTCCCCTCCTGGGCAAGGTTGCCCAGGTGGAATCAGTATCAGAAGGAGACTGCTCCCTCCCTTGCTTCTAGGCAAGGACAATTACCTCAGAAGGAGCCAAACTGTCTGGAATAAACAAGTAGGCCCCCCTCCCCAGAGTAAGGTGACCAGACATCCTGCTTTTGGCAGGACAGTCCCAATTTTTAACAATTTGTCCCGCATCCCGTGGCATCTTAAAAAAGTCCAATTTTTGGAAAGAATGCACCACAAGCTAGGGAATGCGGGAGAACAGGAAGGGAATATAAGGTTTTAGGCTGGTGGCTATTTCACCAGGATATGAGTTTTATATTATTTTTGTTAATTTTATAATGTTGAACTTTAATAATAACAAATAATTGTTGAGAACTGATTATCAAGAACTGCTTATCAAAGTT